TTATACACATCTAGATGTGTATAAGAGACAGGAGAGAGAGAGAGAGAGAGAGAGAGAGAGAGAGAGAGAGAGAGAAAGTTGAGTGATAAAAGATTGGTTGTGCAGTTCGATGAAGAAGGTAGTGGCGACCATAGGACACGGGGTTGACGAAGGAAGGAGAAGTGGAGAAGAGAGGAGAGACTGGAGAGGAAGAGGAAGACATAGCTGAGGAAGGAGGAAGGAGGGACAACGAAGGTGAAAAAAAAAAAAAAAAAAAGAGAAAAAGAAGAAAGAAGAAAGGTGAAGGAGGGGGAAAGAGAAGTCAAGGGTGGCGAGGAAGAAGGTGCCGGCAGCCATAGCCGACTTGGAGGTTGACAGGGCGTTGACCAAGGGTTGATCGGGCGTTGACTGGAGCATTGACCGGGGTCTGACCGTGTTGACCAAGGCGTTGACCGGAGCTGCTGACCACGATTTTGACCAAGCTGGAATTGGTATAATCTCGCCAAGCCCTCAGCCTATCCCCTCGCCTTATGGATATGCACTCACCCTATGGTACTTGCTGAGTCTGAGTCTGTCTGTCTCTTCGTTCTGCATTGAGTCTCTTCTGTCCAGGTGATAGGACTCCGTGTATGAAGGATAGGGCCTCGTTGACCAAACCCACACGGGCTGAGTAGGGCTAAAGACTGTGTCTGACGACTCGACTGTCTCGGAGGACACGAACCCGCCTAAGGACTGGTACTGACCGGCGGGCTGCTCGGTGTGGCACGGTAGGCCCAAAATCCGAGTTGTGGGCTGCACAACGGGCCGTCTAAGTCTTGAGAGAATCCGCTGACCGCGTCGTCCTGTCTGCGACGTTAAAGAATTCCTGAGGAGTTACGGGGGATCGCCTTCAATGCCTCCTGGTCAGCAGCAGGTTCTGTAGTGACGGTTGTAGTGATTAGAGTCTAGGCTAGAGACCCTAGTTGACAGGATCCAGTCCGGATTCTGTGGTCCTTAGATTGAGTCAGTAGGTCGTGTCAGTTAGAGGGTAGGTCTAAGTGGTGAGGAGTGGGACAGTCTCTGTCGTGCACCTAACACCATCGACGATTACCCTATGTACGACTTTCTTGTGGGGTTCTCCCTGTGTGGGACCCTCTGGCGTCTCCTCTTCCCTGTGGGATTCTGGAACACCTTCACGTGCAGAGTAGATACGAGGAGTGGTATGACTACCAATCCTTACACAATAGAACAGGAGGCGAAAGCCACCGCCCTCCTGAAAGAGAGATGAGAGAAGGAGGCCAAGAAGAAGGCCCTGATGGAGGAACAGGCGGCGAAGTTGAAGAAGATTGAGGAGGAGATGGCCAGAGAAAAAGAGAGGCTAAAGAGAGAAGAAGAAGAGAAGCTCAAGGCGGTAGAAGAGGAGGAAGAGGTAGAAGAACAGCCACTGGAAAGGCGAAGGGCAGGAGGAAGAGGAGAATCCAGGGGTACAAAAGAAGATAAGATGGAGAAGAAAATCACAGAGTGGGTTGCTGGTCTATCCCTGGCAGAAGAAGTGGAGGCACTAATGTATGTTCCCAGGGAAGAACAAGAGGCGACCATGAGAGAGTGGGATGCAGAAGAAGACCCACTCAAGCGGCGGGCCATAGAAGATGAGAAGAGGATGGAGTGGAAGTTTCGACTGACGAGGGAGAGGAAAAGGAGAATGGGGGCGGCGAGCCAGGCGGCGAAAGGATTGGAGGAGGTGAAGAAACAAAGAGAGCAGATGGCGACGCAGGTGGATCTATTGGGGAATATGGAGATAATGGCGAGGAACATAGAGCACCTGGCACCGGTCCAGGAAAAACAATACTTGTTTGGTAGAGGTCAGGACATTGCTGTACGCTCTATACGGCTGGGGCTCCGGGATTTCGCCAGGGAATTGGCGACGCAGGTGGGCTCAGAGGTGAGGGCCCGCCTAGAGGGCACCGAACGTTATTGTACGAGCGCCATAAAAGGCGCCAGATTGACTGCTCCCAAGGAGGAGGAAGCACGTCCCCGTAGGGAGCCGGTCAAGGTTAAGTTCCCTGACTCCTATAGCGGGAAGAGAGATGATAATTCTGACAATTGGGAAACCAATGTCAAAACCTACGTCCAGCTGCAAAAGGTCTCCCCGCACGAGCATGTCCTGATAGCTATCCATGCCCTTCGAGACGAAGCAGCAAGCTTCGCCTGTTCCTTGTGCCGCAATGCTAACTGCAATGATGATCTAATCGCCTATTCTGCGTTTAGTCCTCTCACTGACTTCCTTAAGTTATTAAGGGAACGGTTTGCAGACGTCTAGCGTAGTGTCAAAGCCTCTGATAGGCTGCAAACCATCCACTCCCGCCAGTGGAAGAGTGCCATGGCACTCAAGGGCGTTATGGACGAGTTAGTCGCCATCCCGGACCATGGGGTCACAGAGACCCAATTGGTCAACCTCTTCTATCGTGCTATGCCCGAGCAATTACGCGGGCATTTCTTCGAAAAGAGTCAGCAGCCCAACATGACTTGTGATGCTTTGAGCAGAGAAGTTGTAGCGTTCGAAGCGAGGTCCATATCAGTTTCCACTTTTTGGCATAAAGACCTGGATAAAGGCAAAAAGTGGAAGGGTCGCACCATCTCGGGTCAGGTCAAGACCAAGGATCGTTTGATCCTTACGTTAGATGAGGGTGGTGTCGACGAAGTCCCCTACGAGCAGATTGAGTGGGGACTAGAGGAGGAGGGCAGTGGCGTTAGCCAGGGCAGTACTTACGCTACTGTCGCGGCCGGAGGGAGGCCGCAAGGAGGAGGTAGAGGCCAAGGCCAAGGGGGCCGGGCCTCAGGGGGCCGTTCCCAGGGCGATTAGGGGATTGGTGGTAGAGGAGGAAACCGCCAAGCGGGAGGAACGGGTCAAGGTGCCCCGCAAAACCGTTCAGGGAATAGGTCGCCTAATAGGGGTAATAGATCACCCTATAGGAGAACTGGTTGGCACCCAGGTCTGCCACAGGGCCGACCTTGGGAAGATCTGGGCCTGGACCAGCGCGTTTGGCAACAACGTGTGAACCAGGGGCAATGCATATATTGCGGTGACCCTGGCCACATCATCAAATACTGTCCAAAGTATAGAGAGGCCCGATGGGCTGCCCAGGGGTCAAAAGGCAGCCGCTGGTAGGGGTAGCAACTGCCCCTACCATGAGGCCATGTGGGGAAATGAGTGCGAGCTGGCAGGAATCTCCCACACCATATGTGCCTATGGCAGAGGTTGCAAGCCGGTGCCTAGATGGCTGTCCAAAGACTGCTTGTGTTAGGGTCTCTCTAGGCACTTCCCTCACAGGCGTGCCCGATGAGCTAAAGGAGAGGATGCCCGCCTGGGCCAAGATGAAGAAGGAGAGTAGAGGACAACTAGTTTTAGTAGATGTAGAGATTTTCAGAGGTAGAGTAGGGGCCCTCGTAGATAGTGGGGCCACGCGCAGCTGTATCAGTAGAAAGGCGCTGCAAAAGTTGAAGTTGGGGTTGAAAGTCCAGAATTTAGCAGACCCCATAGCGAGTATCCTCGCAGACAATCGCACGATGCGAGTAGAGGATTCTGTAGAGGGAGTCCAAACGTACTTTCGCCTAGAAAAAGATGGGAAAGTGGAGAAAGTTCTCCATTCCCAGACGCTCCTCGTAGAAGATAACCTTCCCTTCGATATAGTCCTAGGAATGGACTAGGAAGAGGCAACAGGGGCCACACTCCATCTGAGAGAGGACGGGTGTAGGCTCCCTAGTCCGTCAGGCGGGGTCAAGAGTGTCCGTTTGTTCCACGTGTCAGGAGTAGATAACTCCCTGCCACATTGCTGCCTTAGCGCTCCTGCGTTCGTGAGGTTAGTGAAGAAGGAGAAGCTAGAAAAACAGGTTGTTGTAGCCTATGTTAGACCAATTACTGAGCCTAAAGAGGAAAAGCCCATAGATCCCGCTATTGCCAAGCTGCTGGAAGAGTACGTAGACTTAGCTAAACCGCCTACGGGAGTAGTCCCGCGACCCATCCAGCATCGCATCGAGATAGAGCCTGGCAGTAGGACTCCTAAAGGAGCAGTATATAGGATGTCCCCGCGGGAATTGGAGGAGCTACGCAAGCAGTTAGATGAGCTCCTAGAGAAGGGTTGGATTAGGCCCAGTTCGTCTCCATTTGGGGCACCTGTTCTGTTTGTTCCCAAGAAGGAAGGAGAGCTCAGAATATGTATAGGCTATAGGGGTCTCAATTCGATTACAGTGAAGAATGCAGAGCCACTGCCTCGTATAGATGATCTTTTAGATCGGGTGCAGGGTGCAAGTATTTTTGAAAGATCGATCTGAAGTCCGGATATCATCAGATAGAGGTCCATCCTGATGATCAGTATAAGATCGCATTCCGGACTAGATATGGGCACTACGAGTTCATAGTCATGCCCTTTGGACTAACCAACGAGCCAGCGACTTTTCACCGCTGTATGAATGACTTGTTTAGGCCGTGGTTAGACAAATTTGTAGTAGTCTACTTATATGATATTCTAGTGTACAGTAGGACCCTCCAGGAGCATGAGGGTCATCTAAGGCAGGTCTTGGAGAAGTTGAGAGAGGCTACTTCAAGATCAACGCAAAGAAGTGAGAATGGGCAAAGACCCAAGTTTTATATCCAGGCCATGTCTTAGACGGAGACGACATTAAACCAGAAGATAGCAAGATTGCAACGATTAGGGATTGGCCTACGCCCCGCACGTTGACAGAGTTGTGGTCGTTCCTAGGCCTAACTAATTATTACAGGAAGTTTGTGAGAAACTTCTCCACTATCGCTGCTCCAATTCGCAGGTTGCTAAAGAAAAAAACAATCTGGAAGTGGGATAAGGACTGCACGTCTGCCATGAAGAAGTTGAAACAGGCGTTGATAGAGTACCCAGTCCTTAAGGTAGCTGATCCGTCCTTACCTTTAGTTGTCACCACTGACGCGAGCCAGTATGGTATAGGTGCTGTACTACAGCAAGACGATGGCAATGGATATAGACCCGTAGAGTTCATGTCTGCTAGGATGCCTTTAGAGAAGGTCGCGACGTCCACCTATGAGAGGGAACTCTACGCCCTCAGGCAAGCATTAGAACACTGGAAGCACTACTTGCTTGGGAGGCACTTCAAAGTCTATTCAGACCATGAGACATTAAGGTGGTTGAAGACTCAGGCCAAGATGACACCTAAACTGGAACTGACGAGACTAGGCGGGCCGCAGAGCTAGACCAATATGACTTTGAGCTCAAGCCAGTAAAAGGGAAGTATAATGTAGTTGCGGACGCTCTGAGTAGGAGAGCTGACTACTTTGGAGCGATAGTCCATTATCTGGATATAGGGAGAGACCTGCAACAGAAAGTTAGAGAGGCGTATGCGCAGGACCCTATCTATAGTGACCTCCTCAAGAGAGTAAAGGAGGCGCCCCGGAGTCAGAACCAGACTACCGCACTACTGATGGGCTATTATTCGAGAAGACTAATGTATTTGACCGATTGTGCGTTCCTAACAGTGAAGAGATCCGTAGTTTGATCCTAGGGGAATGCCACGATACCGAGGGACATTTTGGTTGGCAAAAGACACTAGCTAACCTCATGCGCGCGTACATATGGCTTGGGATGAAGACCGACCGCATAGAGTATGTTCGCAGTTGTAAGGTCTGCCACATAAATAAGACCTCTATGCGTGCCCCTCTAGGTCTTCTCAGACCCTTGCCTATTCATGATCAGCCAGGAGATTCAGTGTCCATTGACTTTATGGACACCAATGTCAAGAGTAGGCATGACAAGAGCCAAGTCATGGTAATAGTTGACAGGTTTAGTAAGTATGCTGTTTTTGTTCCTTTGCCCTCAGAGGCACGCACAAAATTAGTTATTCAGAAGTTCTTTGATCATTGGGTCAGTGACCACGGGATTCCACTGTCTATAGTTAGTGATAGAGACACCTGGTTCTCTAGTCAGAACTGGCAGGAGTTGATGAGAGTCTATGCCTCCAAGCTGTTGATGTCATCTGGCCATCATCCAGAGACTAACGGTCAGACTGAACAGACGAATAAGATCCTGCAACAAGTTCTGCGTATGTACATTAGACCGGATCAGATCAATTGGGATGAGATGTTGCCCAAAGTAGCCAGTGCATACAATAACAGCGTGCACTTGCCTACCTGTCGCACTCCCAACGAGTTGCACAAGTCCTTCAGACCACGCAGACCGTTTGAGGGGCTTAACCGGGATCAGATTCACAGGCTACCGCCCGGTACTAGGGAGTTTGCATTACAGCACGAGAAAGAGTTAGCTACCGTGGTAGAAAACCTCAGGAAGGTCCAGCACTGAATGATAGAACAAGCCAATAAGCACCGTCGCCCATCACAGTTTCAAGTAGGCGACCTGGTCTGGGTCAAGTCTAAAGAGTTTGCTCCTGAGGAGAACATCTCGCAGAAGTTACTGCCCACATATAGAGGACCGTGGCCGGTTCTAGAAGTTAAGGGCGGAGAGGACGGGCCGTCCTACACAGTAGAGATCCCAGCACACCTCCACACCTGCCCTGTGTTTCATGCCTCAAAGTTATTGCCGTGTGTCACCAGTCAGCTGTTTCCATCTAGGAGATCCATGATTCCTCCAGACATGGACGGAAGATACGACATTGACGGCATTGTAGATAAAGACGTGTTCAGAACAGGACGTAGAGGTCGTCCGCAAAAGCAATACAAGGTCCGCTTTGCTTATCAGGAACCAGAGGACGACCGCTGGTTTACTAGAACAGAGCTTCGAGAAACAGCTCCCGACATAGTTAGAGCCTATGAGAGAGAGAAGAAAAGTAAAGGTACGACCTTGGACTGAGTTATTCTCGGAGGACCTCGAATTTAGGCCGGCGGGAGTGAAACGGTTTTCACCTGCTAGCAGTAGCAAATGCAGATCCCAGGGCTCGATC